CTGGAGCTCACCACCGCAGAGGCCTACAGATGTACTCTGTCAACAGCTCTGGCCACACAGATAAAACAGGTCTCTAATAATCTCCAGGCAAGGACAAGGGACGCTTCCCAAGGCTGCCAGGATCACATCTTACTTTAAACCGGTGTTTCCAGCTGCGCTCTCCCTGTTCTGAGTGGGCAGCAAGGAGCAAGCTCCTACTGCAACAGCAGCAACTCTTCCCAGGTGGGTCCACTGCCAGCCCACCCTGCCCAGCCACATGGGGTCAGGTGCGTCTGCAGCCAGCTCACCTATGTGCTAAGAGCTGTGAGGCAGCTCTGCCTCAGGAGCAAGCAGACAGGCTCCCAGGTGAGCTCGGTCACTGGGCAGAGAGACGGCTCGAGTGCCTTCTTTCCAATTACCCAGCAGAGTTAGCTAGAATCAGCCAGAAGGAGCAGGTGCTGAGGACCTGGATGCCTAAGAAAGACCCTACAAAGGGGCTCTGCCGACTCTAGTGGGGTCACTGAATGGCAGCGTAAGAATTACTCCTCTGTTTGGAAGTCAGAGCACATCTGTTCCTGGAAGAACACGTCCTAAGAAGTCCCCGGCAGCACACAGCTCCATCCAAGGGTCTTCAGAGGCCGGCGACACTTACAGGCCCACGCTCAGTGATCCTCAACATACTGCCGTGTCAGTCCCACTGGAAAGATTATTTGAAGGGCAGAAAGAAGGAAACGTATAGAGACAGAGATCTTCCGTTAAGTGTTTCATGATATATGTGATACAGGTGGGCTCCATAAGCATCATGACTGACAGTCCTGCTTGTCACGGAGACCGCCAGGAGAGCACCTGGAACATGTGTGGGAGGGAGGCAGGGAGACAGGTGGTGTGCCAGGCTTGAGCTAGCAAGGGAGCGAGGAAGGGTGACCCAGACTCCCACTGGTAGCACAGGAAGGCAGGGAACAGACACAGGAGCACATGCTGGCAGCAAGCTGTGCCTCTGCACAGCTCCAGGGACAGAAGTACAGATGGGGCGAGGGGCGAGGGATCCAGTTACTGTGGCACGGCACACTGAGCTATCTGCAGCACTGGCATCTCAGAAGCCTACTGACTTGTGCCCTGGCTGCTCCACTTCTAGTCTAGCTCCCTTCTAATGTGCCAGGGAAGGTGGCTGGTGGATGCTTTGACAGTGTTTGGCCCCTGCATCCATGTGGCAGGCCCCGATGAAGCAGCTGGCTTCTTCAGCCACTGCAGCCACTTGGAAAATGAACAGGCAAGTGGAGAACATCTTTCTCCCTGTGTCTTTCCTGCTCTAACTCTGCCTTTTCAAATAAATAAAATAAATCTTAAAAACAAACAGAAATGTAGATCACCCAGTGGGAGGCCAGGCCCAAAGCAGGCACTTGGGGTGGAAAGAGCTCAAATGATCGCAAGATGTTGTCATTCTCACCCAAAATACAAATCCAGCACTCCAGGGAACCAGACATCGCCCAGACGCACACCAGTAAAAAAAACTCCTTCCTAGTTCCTAAGTTTCTGGGCTGGTGCGCGGACCTGTGTGTGCACGAGGGACGCCAGAGTCCACCGTGGGTTGCCAGACACCATTGTGCATCACCGGTCACAGGGTAGGCAGGAGCTGCCGCCCTGAGGCCTGCCTACAGAATGGGGTCTCTCTGTCCGGGAGGAGCTCTGATGAATGAGTAGACAGACAGTGGGCAGGACAAGCCACTTTATTTAAAAGCTGCCACAGCCCAGAGTGGTTTAACATAGATGCATTGGGAGATTTATCTAGATGATAAAATACCTGAACTTGAAAGCCACATAAATTACAACATCGCAGTTTCTTCCCTTTTAAGATTTCACTCAGTCAAGTGCTTTGAAGTAATGAATGAAAATGCACAGAACGCTGACTTCACTGTCGAGAAGCTTTCTGATTGGTGGTCTACACGAGGCCTCTGCTTGCAGGCGGGAAGGAGCTGAGAACCAACACTTCCCACCTATGGCTGGGGCCTTCTGCCTGCTCACCATGGCGGCGGGCACTGCAGGGGAGAGGCGTGTGATAATCACCCAGCATCTACCACACGGCATGCCGTGCACTGCACCAGCATGCCCCATGCTTCTTGCTGCATACATTCAAGGTCCTATGAATCAGGCACAATGACTTTCACACTACAGATACAAAAGCTTAGGTGTGGAGAGCCCCTGACGCCCGGGAGGCCAGGCAGACATTTTCCCCTACGAAGCTGCACATCTACCACCACGCAAGAGGGTTGGCCCTCAGCAAACGCAACTGGCTCCTGGTGTTGGATCAGCTCAGCTCAGCCCTGGCCGTTGCAGCCATGTGGGGAGTGAACCAGCAGATGGAAGATCTTTTTCTGTATCTCTCATTCTCTCTGTATATCTGCCTTTCCAACAAAAACAAATGATCTTATTAGAAAGGCAGATCAGATTTATGGAGAGAAGGAGAGATGAAGCTCTTCCATCCCATGGATCATTTCCCAAATGGTCACAGCCAGGAGCTTCTTCCGGGTCTCCCACGTGGGTGCAGGGTACTAAGACCTTGGGCCGTCCTCAACTGCTTTCCCAGGCCACAGGCAGGGAGCTGGATGGGAAGCAGGGCAGCCAGGACATGAACCAGTGCCCATATGGAATCCTGGTGCATGCAAGGGAAGGATTTTCATCCACTGAGCCATCGTGCCAGGCTCTTCACTCACCTTCTATGACACACACACATGCTTATATTCGGAGAAGTTTGCCCCTGGGGCTGTGCTCATTTACCCACGGGTGCTTGCATTTGGGGCCGGGTTTTCTGTCAGTACCGGGGTTACCAAGCTCCCAGTCATCTGGTCCAGTGGCTAGGATGCAGCTTGGGACCCGCACAGCCCACTGGGCAAGCTTGGGTTCTCGCTGCTGACACCCACCTGGGGAAGCAGAGGACGGCTCACCCTGTGGGGGGCTGAGCTGGAGATCCCGGGGCCCAGGAAGGTGGGAAGTCTCTATCAATCTGTTATTTAATACATATATGTATGTTAAAGCTCCTTGCCTTTAGAGAAGCAGAGCATTCCCAGGCCATCAGCACCCCCAGGGGAAGGCCGATGGCAGGGGGCGGCAGGGGGCAGTGGGGGCAGCAGCAGCCGGATCCCCAGCTAGCATAGGCTGGAGACACCCTGTAAGAGACAATTTCAGGCCCTGTCAGCCCTAGTTTCCCCAACATCCTTTGCTATATTTTCTTTGGTCTGAGCCTTCAAAGATTCAATTCTCCGGCCTGCCAGTGTGGCAGCCCAGGAGGCCTTTTATCCTGCAGAACACCCTCATTCCTGCCAGCCTGATAACTGCTGGCCATCCACTGCACCAGATAACCCAGCTCCCTGTAATCACCCCGCACAGTCCCCCAGGCCCCGGCCGCCCTGGCTTCCGCCCCCACCCTTCCCAGCGTCAGCCTGAACAGCCACGACTGCACTGGGGCAGTTGCACTTCTCCAGCGACCACTGTCTGTCCAGGGCGGCTGCAGGGGTCGGGCAGCCTGCACAGCTACACCGAGCCTGCAGCTTCGGTCCTTCCCGGGGCTAGCACACGCAGGGACGACACCCAGGCTGCCCTCTCTCTCTCCCCAGGAACGGTGCCAGCCACCAGCCCCGACTGGTGTCCCCCATTCTCCAGGCCCCCCAGGCAGTTCTCACGGAGCAACTCCTTTGCCCCACCAACCCTGAGAACAGAGCCAACAAAGACACGGGGACCATTCCAGGCAAAAAATACACCGAGCACTTGACAGTGGATGTCCAGACACGAGTGACCCAATCAGTTGGCCTGTCACGAGAGTAGGTGGAGGCAGTCTAGGACAGGAGCACCTGCTTGGTCCCCAGAGCTTCAGGGACAGGGCCACACCATACACAGAACCCTTCAAGGAGTCAGTGGAGGTTAAGGAACACGCTTCCCGACCCAGCTGTACAGCTGTACCCCAACGCGCCCACACACACATACACACCCCCGTCCCAGCTGTACCCCAACGCGCCCACACACACACACCCGACCCAGCTGTACCCCAACGCACCAACACACACACACACACACACCCGACCCAGCTGTACCCCAACGCACCAACACACACACACACACACTCGACCCAGCTGTACCCCAACGCGCCCACACACACACACACACACCCGACCCAGCTGTACCCCAACGCGCCCACACACACACACACACACACACCCGACCCAGCTGTACCCCAACGCACCAACACACACACACACACCCGACCCAGCTGTACCCCAACGCGCCCACACACACACACACACCCGTCCCAGCTGTACCCCAACGCGCCCACACACACACACACACCCGACCCAGCTGTACCCCAACGCACCAACACACACACACACACACACCCGACCCAGCTGTACCCCAACGCGCCCACACACACATACACACACCCGTCCCAGCTGTACCCCAACGCGCCCACACACACACACACACCCGACCCAGCTGTACCCCAACGCACCAACACACACACACACACACACCCGACCCAGCTGTACCCCAACGCACCAACACACACACACCCGACCCAGCTGTACCCCAACGCGCCCCCACACACACACACACACCCGACCCAGCTGTACCCCAACGCACCCACACACACACACACACCCGACCCAGCTGTACCCCAACGCACCAACACACACACACCCGACCCAGCTGTACCCCAACGCGCCCACACACACACACACACCCGACCCAGCTGTACCCCAACGCGCCCACACACACACACACACCCGACCCAGCTGTACCCCAACGCGCCCACACACACACACACACACCCGACCCAGCTGTACCCCAACGCGCCCACACACACACACACACACCCCCGACCCAGCTGTACCCCAACGTGCCCACACACACACACACACACCCGACCCAGCTGTACCCCAACGCGCCCACACACACACACCACGGTCTCAGCAGACAAGCACGCTTGCCCGTGGCCTTCTTCGCTGGAATTGTTAGTCTTACTCAAGACTTACACCGGGGCGTGTGGGGAGCCGTGAATCCCCGGCACACTCCAGGGGCGCTGAGCGGCTAGGCCTTGCTTTTTAACTTGAGTGGGACAGAAACTCGCGTCTCTCCGGCTTCGGGGTTAGGACGGGCCCTGTCCCCAGGCGGGCGCACTGACGGTCGGCGTTCCGCCGCCGGCCTGGGGTCGCCCCCGGTCCTCTCGCGCCCCGCGTCCTTACCTGCGGCGCAGCCCGGGCTCCCACTCCTCTCAGGGCTCTGGGTGCGCGGGCTCCCACTCCTCTCAGGGCTCTGGGTGCGCAGGCTCCCACTCCTCTCAGGGCTCTGGGTGCGCGGGCTCCCACTCCTCTCAGGGCTCTGGGTGCGCGGGCTCCCACTCCTCTCAGGGCTCTGGGTGCGCGGGCTCCCACTCCTCTCAGGGCTCTGGGTGCGCGGGCTCCCACTCCTCTCAGGGCGCTGGGTGCGCGGGCTCCCACTCCTCTCAGGGCTCTGGGTGCGCAGGCTCCCACTCCTCTCAGGGCTCTGGGTGCGCGGCCCGGCGCCGTCCAGCACCCGGGAGCACTGCGGGCCCGCGCCTGCTCGCCCCGGCCCGTGGCCCGCTGCCCGTGTGGGGCGGAGCTCGCGGGGCGCAGGCCGGGCTGGGAGGGGCCCGCCTACCTCAGGCAGCCGTCCCTGCCGCTCCCGGGGCCCACGGCCCGCCTACCTCAGGCAGCCGTCCACGCCGCTCCCGGGGCCCCATGACCCGCCCCGCCTCAGGCAGCCGTACACGCGGGCTCCCGGGCCCCACGGCCCGCCCCGCCTCAGGCAGCCGTCCACGCCGCTCCCGGGCCCCACGGCCCGCCCCGCCTCAGGCAGCCGTCCACGCCGCTCCCGGGGCCCCATGACCCGCCCCGCCTCAGGCAGCCGTCCACGCCGCTCCCGGGCCCCACGGCCCGCCCCGCCTCAGGCAGCCGTCCACGCGGGCTCCCGGGCCCCACGGCCCGCCTACCTCAGGCAGCCGTCCACGCCGCTCCCGGGGCCCCATGACCCGCCTCAGGCAGCCATCCACGCGGGCTCCCGGGGCCCCACGGCCCGCCCCGCCTCAGGCAGCCGTCCACGCCGCTCCCGGGGCCCACGACCCGCCCCGCCTCAGGCCTGCCGCCCGTGCAGCCGTCCACGCGGGCTCCCAGCCCCTCCCCCCACCTGCCGTCTGCTGCGCTTTCCCTCAGGTCTTTCTGGGTTTCCTATGCCATTTGTTTCTACTTCCTTTTCTTCAAAAGTTTGAGTTTCTATATAGCTAAGTAATGTACGAACACTATTAAGCAACACAGAATTCTCTAGATGAGCATATAGCGAAAGCAACCGGCGCCTCTGCCTTGCTTTCTGATCCAGCCCTCTGTTCAGTCCTTCCGAGGGTCACCCCCTTGTCGCTAAAGAAAGACGCTGACGCAGCGATTTCTTCATCTGTTTATTGACTTCCTGCTAGGGTAGATGAGGATTTACTCTCTTCCTGCGCCCCTGCTTCCTTCTCCCGACAAATTTACACCTCTGTTCTCACGCCCTCCTGGCTCGGCTCCCTCAGCGCGGGCTGCAGCTTTGCTGAGCCAGAGGTGACCAAGGGCTGAGGGCTGAGCGGTGCTGCGAGCTGACGCGGGGTCCTGCAGCCATCCTGGGGCGCTGCCCAGGAGGCTCCCTTCTCCAGGCTCAGGGTCCTGGGCCTGCCTCCTCCGCCCACCCAGGGGACCCTGGGCTTGCTTCCTCGGCCCCCTCAGAGCCCTTCAGACCTCCCCAGCAGCTCACAGCACTTACACCAGTCTCTGCAGCTAGGACTGGCCGTGGGAGCAACAGAGCCTGTGGCCGAGGGAGACTTGAATGAGGATGTCAAGTTCAACACGTCGTGGCCACTGGGTCCTAACTGCGGTGACACGTCCTCCTCCCTTTAGTACGGGAAAGTGTTCTAGAAGCTGGACCTGGGCCCTGTCCCTGTCACCAGACACTCACAAGGCTCCCTTGAGGTGGCTGGGCAGGTGTGTGGTCCCCTCACTTGAGCCACCCTCTGCTGCTTTCCAGGCTCCTGAGCAGGGAGCTGGATGGGAAGTGGAACAGCTGGGACTCGAACTGGTGCCCATATGGGATGCTGGTACCACAGGCTGAAGCCCTACCTACAACACTCCCACGCCAGCCCCTGTGGTCCCATTTTTAGGCGGGTCCATGCACTCGTCCCCTTGTGTAAGCACGGGAAGCACTCAGCAGCCAGTGAGGCCCCAGCGGAGGGCACTTCCGCACCCGCACTGTAAGCCGTGGCCAGGCCCCGTGTGTCCGCCTTCTCTCCTGCCCGTTGTGTGGAATGCAGCTCCACCGGGTGGCCCGGGCGAATCTCCTGGCCTCTCCATGTTTCCACTGTCCTCCCTGCACGCGCCACCACACCGGGTCTGCAAAGGGTAAGTGTTTAATGTCTCCTGGAGCAGGTTTCAGAGTCCTTAAGTCTGGGTGTGCTCTTCTTGGGAAGCCAGTGTGTCACCAGCAGGTTGGGGGCTGCTAGAAAAACCCCAAGATGTCTGAACATCAGTGTGTGGGGTGTGGTGCCACAGGTGGTCTGCATGGGGTGTGGTGCCACAGGTGGTCTTTGTGGTACATGATGCCACAAGAGGTCTGTGTGGTATGTGGTTCCATGGGTGGTCCACGTATGGTCCGTGGTTCCACGGGTGATCTGCGTGTGATATGTGGTACCACGAGTGGTCTGTGTGGTGCATGGTGCTATGAGAGGTCTGCTTGGTATGTGGTGCCACGGGCTGTCTGCATGGTATGTGGTGCCACAGGCCATCGGCATGTGGTGTCTGGTCTCACAGGCCATCTGTGTGGTGTGTGGTGCCACAAGAGGTCTGTATGGTGCCACGGGCGGTCTGCGTGGTGTGTGATGCCACGGGCCTTCTAGGTGTAGTGTCTGGTCTCACAGGCGGTTTGGAGTCCTGGGGTCACAGTCCAAGGCCGAGTCATTGTGAAGGCAAGGTTGCAGGCCAGGAACACAGAGACTGGATACAGAGCAAGTGGAGAGCTGGGCAGTGCCACCTGTGCCCCAGGCAAGGCCAGTTTCCCTCCCTGGGGCAGGAAAGGTAGAGGCTTGTCCTGGAGAAAGTCTGGCTTCTGAATCAGAAGTGATGGGCCTTGGCATGGGAGGGTTCCTCTCCTAGAAGAGCCTTGCTTTGTCTGGGTCAGCAGCCAAGAGGTCCACTCTGGAGAGAAATGAGTTCCCAGGTTTCTGTGTAGATTGAGATGTAAGTGAGGGTCTTTGCTTAAGATTTTGGGAAATTGCTGGGTCACAGGCATGATGGATGCATTCTTCCATCTCCCCTTTGCTGAAAGCTTCGTGCCTTCTCCTGGCTGGCACAGCTAGGGAAATGAGACCGGGCAATGCTGTGTCAGGATGGAGGAGGAGGACTTAGCCGGCAGCGGCCTGCCGCCAAGGCCCTGGGAAGCTGATCCTGAGCCCAGAAGGCAGGTGCAGGCAGTGGACAGGAATGGCCGGGTCACTGACAGCATTAAGTAGGACAGCCCAAGGACGTGTGCAGCGTGAAGCCAGTTGCTGTTAACAGGCGATTGCAGCTTGATCCTACAGGAACATTGCAGAAAGCAGTGTAACGAACAGTGAACAGGAGAGGCTGCAGGAGGCAGGTCTCTAGGGGAAGACAGAAATTGACAGCTAGCTTTGAACATAAAAAACAAACCATGTCTAGGTGTGGACATGTCCTGGCCAGGGTGAGATGAGGACTGCACTGGAGCACACTGGGCAGGCGTCAGGGGGCGGTGACCCGGTGCCGTCTCCTGGGGCCATCCTGGGAGGCCTGCTTTGGGAGGGTGGTGACGAGACAGGGAGTGGGGTAACTGTGTGGTGAGCTCATTGTCACCTTGCCTCCTGAGCCTTCACTGAGAAATAGCACGTTGTAGCTGGTGAAAGCAAAGGACAAAAGGGAGGCCGTTTGCTTTAAAAATGACCAGAGAGGGAGATCTCTTCTGTCATGGGAAATAGTTCAGAAAGCTTGCTTGTTAGCAATGAGCAGACAATACCAACTTAGCCTTTCTCACTTGATTCCCCACCCTAGGAAGCCTGGCTCCCTTGTGCATCCTTACTATCAAGCCAGGGAGACCCTAAGAAGGCCAGAAATGGCGCATAGCCTCCCCTGCTCAGAAGCCCCAGTGGCCTGAACTACAATGGGGAGAAAATGACAAGGTCTTCTCATGCCCAAAAGGCCCTCCCAGCCTGACAAGGGCCTCCCAGCATGAGGGCCTCCTGCACGTGCAAGGACTCCCATGACCCGCCCCAGAAGCTTGCTGACATCTGGCTGAAAGCTCTTGCGGCTTTCCTGGTCTTTGCCGCCATGCCTAATATGCAGCGGGCCCTCTCTTGCTTCAAGCCACGGTCTTCTGCCTCACCCTCTGCTCACTTGCCCAAGTCATTAGCTTCCCAACAGATCACCTAATAGGCACTCCTACGTCATCTCCTTCCTAGTCCTTATTCACAGTACCTATTTGACAACGATTCCCTCTCATTCTGGTACAGTGGATTTAGTTTTATTTGTCATCTGCAGGGACAGGAAAACGCTGAGTTGGTGTTTGTAAATACTTGTTAAGTGAACGGGTAAACAAATGAAGAGAATGAAAAATATACTGAGAAACACTGAGACAAAAATATTCTAGAACATGGACTTTCAACCAATCTACATGATAGTCTTCTCAAATTGACAGTAGATGTTGAAATGTAGAGAGGGGGAAAAAGAAGAGGCTAAAACGCATTATATAATCTGATTCATAACTGCAGTCTGATTATTAGACTGAAAAGCATGTTATATTTGGCCCAAAGTCAGTGCTGAATATTTAAGGGAAGGTTAGGTGGGGAGACCACATATTTGTTTAAAAGAAGTTTTTTTTTATGTAAAATTTTATTTTTATTTTGACAATCTTTACATAGTTAATTAGGGTAAGAAGGTTCAAAGGCTACAGGAAAGTGGATAATACTAGTATGTTTTCCATATTGTTACCTTCATGTTTAAAGGGGGGTATTAAGGGAGAAGGCCCACCCAATTTCC